GAGGAACGTCCGCCGTTGGTAACCGCTATCAAGAAACGGCAGCGAAGACGTGACTGTGGGCACTACTATGTGTGTGCGTAATAGTGAAATGTAAGGTGTGGTCAAGAGCGTTATCGAAGAGTCCAATAAATCCGGTCATCATTCCAAACGCCGTCTATAGTCATTCTACCACGTGACAATATTATAGCCATGAGTTATGTAAGAATGGGATTGAGTGAAGTGTTTCAGTTCTATCCGTTCTCTAAAATGTTTAACTTCTGTGCAACTGCTCTACAGAGAAAAAGACCATATCCTGGGCGAGCGAAGCATCGAATTATTTACGCTAGTACATGGAACAGCAGTATTCAAACCATTTAGGCAGACATAGGAATTATTCCTTTATATAATATGGTGAATATATATTCTACATAACTTAAATACTTCAAATACTAACGGGATTGGTCGACACATTATTTAATAGTAAAATAAAAGATAAAGTTGTCCCTGTGCTTAACTAATTAAGCACTGGGCCATGAAGGCGTATGGGGAAGTGGATGTATAAATCCACATTTTCTTGATATTGGCACTAGCCCCCCGGCAACCATTGGACAGGAGGTTGTATGGACCCCAAAGCCGGTCTGGACGACGCGGTGAAGAGAAATTTCTTGACTCTACCGGGACTCGAACTCCAACTGTAGCCAGTTGCTATACCGACTGAGCTATCCCGGCTCCTAGTATTTAATAGCCGTGATACAAAATGAAGAAATGAAGTTATTAACGGAACACATAATAAAGAAGGTACTCAGAAATACGATCGTGTGATAAGCTGTGCTGAAGATTGCTCTTGTGGCTGGGCACCTTGCTTAGCGGATCTGGGTGCATCGTGTTGCCAGCGATAACAGGGTTAGTGCTCATTTCTTGGAGTCCTCTTTTCCTCTCCCTCTTACTCATGTCGCCATACTCTTATCTGAATTATGTTAGTCACGCTATTGTAACCCCTGAGTGCTGCCAGTCTCCCCCTTCTTCGGCTTTCTTCCATTAAGAGAAATATCTCCTTACGTCTATTTCCCATCTTCTGCACTCCAGATTTTAATGAATTCCTTTAACGCCTTCCTATACTTCAGTCTTTCTCATCGCCACATTTTATGACTGGGTCACGATGACTGCACATTTCATTTCATTTGCTGCCAAGTAACACGTCACTGTAACTCTGACCTCTGATCGTTCTCGAAGTTCTTTGTGGTACAGTTCAGTGCAATATTAGTAACACGCGCTGTTTACATGTTGCGAACTTTACTGCATAATTGTGATTGCAGAGCATGTGTTCCTATAATTCAGTTCTATGCTGTCGTGTGTATGAAAATAAGTGGTTTACATGTCGTCTTTCATTACAGTTTTTGTTCATATTAAATTTATCCGTCAGCCTCTTACCTTGTTTCAGTTCTATATGCCTCACTCTTTGTGTATATTACAGCAAACCCCAGAATTCCTTACTAAAACTTCTTACAAGTAAAAACTATAAACGCCCTAGCAAATTACACAAAACTAGTGTTACCCATTAAGAAATGAGTGTTGCTACAGGCACTGATGAAGACACTTAATACAGGTGTCCGGATGAAAGGTATTCAAAATAAAAATAAGGGACGCTGCGCCTACGGAAACACCGAACATGCTTCAAGTAACGTGGAACGAGGTCGAATATCTGTCGTGCCATTAAGGGAGCCCACATTGATATTTATTGAGAAATTTATATACTCAGAAAAAAACTGATATTTTCCCTTTGCAATGGTGTAACCCATAAATATGTATAATAAATTTTTTCTGAGATATAATTTTTTATTTTGGATACCTTTCAACCGGACGCCCTAAATTTATTCACTTCTATTTTTAGTAAAAACTATCTTTTTCGCATCTCTTTCAGGCAGGAATATACCTCAATGGTTTTTGTCTTTGCGAGGAAATCTTACACATTTCTTGTCTACATTTTGTCAGGAACACTTGTACTGAATATTTTACAAAATTACTCAGAGCCAGAATAATTAAATTTCAGTTTTCTTAGTTTTTCGTAGAATGTTACGAAATCTTGTTCGTACCATTATATGTGTACTTGAACGTCATGATATGCTGCCCTCAATATAGCATGACGCAACCAGCAAAATTGTTAGTAATTACGGGTATATACACTAACTTAGCTACATATTCCGACCTTATTTGTCATCATCCGCCTAAATGCATTCACTTTGTCAAAGCCGCTTTTATTCTTCATATTGTAAATGTTCGCCAAACCTTGAGTGGTTTTGTGTTGTACTTAAATTTAAGGTTTATTTATAAAATTATAAAACTCATATTAATTATTATTAAATCATTGAAATTTTTATAAAAATAAAATATTATGCCATAATACTTTAGTCACCGTTATTATGTCCTTTTCACATGTAAGTAATTAGATGTGAGGCCTATCTGCCAGTATCTCATATTCCATGGAGCATTCACTCTTATGTCGGTGAGTAGTTCCTACTGTTACTGTGTGTCTGTTAACCCTGTTACGCACCCTGAATTCTTAATTTAATTTTGACCAACTGTTATAGCAAAGGATGTCTTGTTTGTGTTTCCTCTGGTGTCTTGATGTTTATTTGTCTCGTCGTTCTGCCTTGGGTGCTAAGTTGTCAAGTGGCATCACATTACTCGTATTTTCCAAATTATGTAACTTTTTTATTATTAGTGGGGTGGGACCAAGTCCCTTGTACTACGGCCATTTCTGACCTATTGTACCAGACCCAGATGATAGGTGAGGGTGATAGTGGAGCAATTAGTTGAATGAAGATAGGCAGGGGAAACCGAAGTACTCAGAGAATACCTGCCCCAGCGCCACTTTGTCCACCACAAATCCCACTTAACCAGACCCCGGGCTCGAACCCGGGCCGCCGCGGTGGGAAGCCAGCGACTAACCGTTTGAACAACTTAGTATTCACTCAGAAAATCCTAATTCCGTGGCCCTTGTCTCAAACCACTATGCACGGCTACTAGAACGTTCCAACGTCTACATTTTCCTGTAATCCTGCCAGATACTCCTACCTACCTACCTTTCTACCCACCCACTCACCTACCTACCCACCTATCTATCTATCTATCTATCTATCTATCTATCTATCTATCTATCTATCTATCTATCTATCTATCTATCTACCCATCCATCCATCCCTTTATGACTCTGAAGCACTTGTGAACCTTCGCCGCTTTTTCAGTCTTAATCCTGTACACATTCGGTAGGACTCCTTGAACGGGTGGTCAGCCCGTCGTAAGACCTCTACCTACATACCGAACAATACAAAATAAGAATAAACGCAAACAGCCATCCATGCCACGGGTGAGATTCAAACCCACGATCCCAGCGTCCGAGCGGGAGGATACGGTTCATTCCTTAGACCGCGTGACCGCTGTGATCAGCCCTGCCAGAAACTTGGGAACTTTATAACAAAAACATGCTCTTTATTTTCCCCCTCCCCGCTCCCAAAATAAGTTGTTGCTAACTTCTCTCATGAGCTTCCCTTTTCATCTGCTCCCCAATATTCTTTCTCGCCTCCTTTGCCATTCTCTCCGGATGGAAGTCATGTAAATCACGTAAAATTGTGACTGGTAATAGTGATCGCCGGCCGGTCACGGTAGCTGAGCGGTCTAAACTGTACTCTCTTGGCTCGCTCGGGAACACCCTACACAAGCCATGCATGTTTGTGTTGTCCTGTGTTTAGGTAGAGGCTTTGCGACGAGCTGATCACTCGTCCAGGTAGTCCTACCGTCTGTGAAATGATCATGAAACTGAAATAAAAATCAGAGGCCAGGGTCCAAGAGGACTGTGGAGCCAGTGACAAAAAACTATCGCCTCTTTCGAAGATTGGAAATAGAATGATGGCCATTTATATGCTTATTCGGGAAGATTTCGGAAATTGTATCTCATGAACAGAATACAGATTCGTGAGACCGTCATAATAAATAAGCAAGTTTTCAGTTTAGTACAGTTATTTCTGTCAAACACGCTGGCAAGAAACGGGAGCATCCATTAATGAATTTAGAGAAGCAAAATTTCCATGAATATTTGCTCTTTATCTTTTCATAATGAATCATATTGCAAACACTTTTTCTGCCTAATATTTTCACGTTGATTAATTGCACTATTAATTCACGAGTTTCATAACTTGTACTCTTCTCAAAGTTGAATCAGAATGATCAAGTCAAGGAGGATGAGGTGGGCAGGGTATGTGGCACGAATGGGAGGGAAAAAATGCATATGGGATATTGGTGGGAGAGCCAAAAGGAACGAGACAACTTGGAGGACCAAGATATAGGTGGGTGGACAATAATAAAATGGCTCTTAGAGAGAGAGGAGGCCGCGCCATAGCTCAACGGTTAGTCGCTGGCTTCCCATCTCGGCGGCCCGGGTTCGATCCCGGGTCTGGTCAAGTGGGATTTGTGGTAGACAAAGTGGTGCTGGGGCAGGTTTTCTCCGAGTACTTCGGTTTCCCCTGCCAATCTTTATTCCACCAATTGCTCCACAGTCACCCTCACCTATCATGTGGGGCTGGTACAATAGGCCAGAAGTGGTCGCAGCACAAGGAACTTAGTCCCACCCCACTAGCAATAAAAAATATAGAGATAGGATGGTATGGATTGGATTGATATGGCTCAGGATAGGGACCAGTGGAGGGCTCTTGTGAACACGGTAATGAACCTTCGGGTTCAATAAAATGCTGGGAAATTCTTGAGTAGCTGCAGATTTGGCTTCTCCTCAAGAAGGGCTCAGATCCATTAGTAAGTAAGTAAGTAAGTAAATTAATCCGCGAGTTTTATATCCTTTTCAGTTGTGTTTTCTTTAAAATCCTTAGAGAGATATTTGTGGTAAGATTTAGACCTTTAATTCTTTTTCATTTGTTCCCAATCATCTACATTAACAAAGTGCTCTCTGGCGGCCTATAATTTTCTACGGTACTTCTGCGTCGTATTACGGAACCACTGGCAGCGCAGTTACGATGGCACAGAACTCTTATCTGATATACATAAGCACTTACTACGACTGGAGCTAATTGGCATTAAGAAACCTCGGCAAACATAATGGGAGAGTCACATCTATATTGTCAGGCTTCTCAAGAGGGACTTCATTGCCACGGCGAGCAGCGCAATGACAGCGTCAGAGCCCAAGACGGAGACAGGTAAGAGTTCTGTCGCTCCTTTATTTTCTACGCAATTCTTCAAGCTTTTACGCGCGTTAGGGAGGTCCGATCTGTGAGTCACTTGGTTTCCAGCATGTAAACTACAGAACAGATCTGAATTAAATTTGACAGAGTAGACCTGTATTAAAACTTATAAGTTGAATTTAATTTCGGTTCATGTCACTCCTATATAACTTCTGCTTTACGTTAAGATGAAATTGAACTTGATTCGTCGTCTGAAAATAATGGGTCGTTGTAAAACATGTTCTTACGTCACGTAACTTATAGCTCTCACTGAGGTCTCCGTAACGCAATAAATTTTCGTCAAAATAATGGCTTGGCAAATGCGCAACGAAAACATCAAAAAAGTGTTCAGCGCTTTGAATATACATTTCTCTTCTTGTTTTTTCTTTCGGTTCATTTTCAGGCTTATTAAGGCGCGTCTACATTACTCGTGCTCGTGCTCGCCAGGCTTGTGTTCGTCGAGAGACTCGTCTGGCTTTTACTTGTGCTCGTAAATCTTCGTCCACACTACTTCAGTTGCTCGCCAGGCTTCGGCGCGTGAGGATCCGTATATTTATTCGTAGTGTGTATAGGCTGTAGTCGGATTTTAATTTATTGACTATAGTTTTTAAATTAAGAATTTAAAATTTGCTTGTCTCGTGACTTGTCATATCGTCCACATTACTCGCGAGCATAGCGAGTCACACGAGCACGAATAATGTGGACGCGCCTTTAGAGTAGACGTAATGTTATGGATGAGATAAAAGTTATATATGTATTTACGCATCTAACAGAGTTTAGGGGGCACGAGGTAGCGCAGTTGGTTGAGGCACTATGCTACAAGCTGGAAGGTCGCGGGATCGAATCCCGATGAGGTCATTGGATTTTTTCAATGTACCTAATCCTTCCAGCCGCACTATGGTCCTGGGGTCGACTCAGCCTCTTAACAGAAATGAGGACCAGGAATGTTCTTGGAGGTAAAGGGCGGCCGGCACGTAAGGCTGAGAACCTTACCGTCATCTATGAGCCGATTGTCTAGAAAATGTGGGAACCTCAACGTCTCACAACCCTACGGGCCTCCACGGTCTGTTACAGGAATACCTTTACTTTTTATTAACAGATTAGAGTCTACAAAGGACGTCAGGGCCGAGGCAGATAGAATGATTATTTGAAGTCGGAACAGGCTTAACTGTCTATACAACGAAGTGAAGAATGATAATAAGGAAAAAACATTCAAGCTTTCTCAGAAGCTAAACGAAAATAGATACATTGTGACCCGAAAGTTTCCGATGGGGGGCAAAAATTTCTCATTTGTGTACAAAGGATCCCAGTACGCGGTACACCTGCTATTCTGACGCAAATATTAACAGCGTTACGATTATTAGGTTGCCTAGATTTCTGGCGTCTGAAATGCCAAATAATTTATAATTTTTTATTGTATGATCCCTCGTTTATATAACATAAATCGGCATGTTACGAGGTATTGCAGGTTACCATTAATACTGCTACTGTGAATTATGTATTTATTTATGGAACTGAAACCTTCTTGAGGAGGAGCCAAATCTGCAGATACTCAGGAATTTCTCAGCATTTTATGGAACCCGAATGTTCATTGCTGTGTTAACAAGAGCCCGCCATTAGTCCCTATCCTGAGCCAGATTAATCCAATCCATATCATCCGATCCTACTTCTCTAAGATCCATTTTAATATTGTCCACCCACCTACGCCTTGGTCTTCCTTGTGGTCTCTTTCCTTCTGGCTTTCCCACCAATATCCTATATGCATTCCTCTTCTTCTCCATTCATGCTCCATGCCCTGCCTACCTCATCCTCCTTGACTTGATCATTCTAATTATACTTGGAGAAGAGTACAAATTATGAAGCTCCATATTATACAGTTTTCTCCAACCCCCTGTCACTTCATCTCCTCAACACCCTGTTCTGAAACACCTGCTACTGTGAATAGTGAGTTGTATTGAATTTTCAGGAATAAGTTTATATAAAAATCCCCCTTGAAATAGTACAAGGTACACTTATTTTTATGAAAGGAGATAGAAATGCATCCGCTTTAATGACCAGGACTTTAGTGTTCGTACTTGTGAAATTTTCAGAGCTGTTTTGACTTAAAATTTCATTTGTCAGTATAAATATTTTCTGTGACATGCTGAAGATCTCATTGTGCCTCTGGCATTCACTGTTTCTAAGTACACACCTGAAAGGTTAATGTTACATAAGCATTAATTACTGTCTTATCTCTCTCTCAGTTCCAGGGCTACTGAACGAACAAAATGGTAAACCTCACAAACCGCCTGTATCCTTCGAAGATGCCCTTGATCTCGCAGGTAATTAGCACCTTATGAGACGAACAAGTGTATCTAGTTCGACATTATACGGACATAACAATTTTCCTGACTCTGGAAATTTTCGAGACAGTAGCTAGCCTTCTTTGGGAAAAGCTACGACCTTCTGATCCCTCAATTAAACTTCTAAAAATTCAGATTAAAGAAATACAGTGGGTTTTGTGGTACCTATTTCACACCACCAACAATAACCCAACTTCTCATGTGTCTACACTACCAAATATATAACAAGTATTGGCATTGTTTCTTTACAAACGACAAAATACTACAGCTAATTAAAGTTACTGATGTTTGAAATGGCACTTTCCATTCAAATTTCTTGAGTGTAGAATCTCCTAAATGTGTGGATTCATCCTCCAGCCACACAAACCTCCATATCTGTGAAAGGTGCCCTGAATGAGACTCAAAGGGCTACCAAAGGGGCATCTCTTTCCGAACCCTAATTTCAACCTAAAAATAAATGAATCCGTCTAGCATAAAGCCCAAGTACCACAAAACGTGAGACAGATGAACTGCGGGGCGGATATAACGTGGTTATCAGAATAAACAACAACTATTTTCTAAATCAGTAGTAACCGACTTTTCTTTGGAATTGATATGCAGTTTGTTTTGTGAAGTGGGAACTATATTTTGTAATTATCATTTAGATGACTTTACTGAGCACGATGAACTGTAAGATTCAACAAAAGAAAAAATTTCTTGTCCAGTTAAGTAATTACCAGCTTCACAAAGAAAATTCTCTATCATGAAATTGATTAATAATTACATTAATTTCAAACAAAGGAGAAAACCGCCGAAGAGCGGTCGTTATATGAAATCTTCAGTTCACATTTTCATTTCAACAGGACATGGCAAGTTCCACCTGTTGTTAACCCTGGGCTGCGGCTTCTGTCTTGTTACAATGGTGGCGGAAGTGTTCGGAACAGCCTTCCTGATCCCTGCAGCGCAATGCGAGTTTGAGATGGGCTCCACAGAAAAGGGGCTCCTCAACGCTTTCGGCTTTATGGGTGAGAGAGAATTCTGCAGTTGTCATGGACAAGATGACGATTCTTTTTTTTTCGTGTCGTACTGCCTCGATGTCACTGTAGGCCTTAAGCGATGTTTCCATTGGCGTGGTGCCACGCGGAATCCTGAGGCGTGAAAACGTGCCGTTTTTGAAAGCCGTGACCACGCTTCGGAGTGGCGTATTCACACGCCTTTCCTACACGCTCCTAAGTCATTTTGCAATGTAAACACTGGAATATTTGAAATGTATTACACGCCTGGGGTCGGGTTTCCACGTGACCATTTCAGTCGCTGTACGAAGATGAGAGGGATGTCACTTATGTGCGGTGCCGTTGCTGAAGTAATAAAAATTGAGCTGTTGTTCAAAATTTTGGAAAATGCCGAAGAAAACGAAGATGGTGGGTTAGAAACTGGATTGCTAAGAGAGAAACGATTGGTCCATCAAGAACACTATCGGAGGAACTTGTATCTAACAACCCAGAAGACTGTAATTACATGTTTATATAATATGTTATAAAAAGTGTTTATTAATATGTAAGCATAAAAGGGTAAGGGGTCGTGTAACGGGCGATGGAAGCCAATAAGTTTGTGAGATGTTGAGGCTCCCATACTTTCTAGACAATCGGCTCAAAGATGGCGGTAAAGTTGTCAGCCTTACGCGCCGGCCGCCCTTTACCCCCAGGAAAATTCCTGGTACTCATTTCTGTTAGAGACTCAGTCGACCCCAGGGCCATAGTGTGGCTGGGAGGATTACGTAAATTGAAAATAATCCACCTCATCGGGACTCGAACCCGCGACTTTCCGGCTTGTGGCATAGCGCCTCAACAAACTACGCTACAGTGTGCTCCTAGCCAGGATATAAACGTATAAATAATTCATATCTTGAAGAAAATCCTGATCAGATAACAATATATGAATTTTGAATAAAAGAGCCTTTTAATTTGTGGCGAATTATTTCAGAATGTCAACAACATTAAAATAATACTTGTAATGAAATTAAGAGCAAATGAATGCTCTGGTGCAGTCCAATTCTCATCTCTACATTTATCCTTTTCTGAACAGTTAAATGTTAACGATATCGATGTTCCTACGCAAATGGGCTCTTCAGGGGGAGCTATACGTACTAGACATTTTCTCCAGTAATTAGGGAGGGCAGACTGGAGTAAATATTAAAACTGCAAATTGGAGCAGCTGGACATAAAGGAGACGAGGTTACTTAAGAATAGAGTGTCGTGTAAAAATAATTCGTGGTATTCATAAGATGAACATTAAAATTAGCAGCGATGGGCGGGGCATGTAGCAAGTATGAGAGTAGCAAGAATTGTTCACAAAATATTGACTGAAACACTACAATAAGAGATCTCTTTGCTAACATATATATATATAACATTATAAATTATTACGATATGGCCATTTTATTGAATGGACTCGCTTAAATTAAGAAGTTGCTATTTTCATTTCTTCAAGTTTACATCATCTTGGACACTGAAATGTCCTTTTCTCTTACAGCCAGCAGTCTGAAACATGTTGCGTATTTAAGTGGCTATGATGTATGCTAGTTAAATGCCTGTGAAGATGGGTAGTCCGTTCAGAAAGCCAATACATGAATTTCTTGAAACTTATCTTAAATTTTGAACTCCATTAAAAACGGAGCGTACTTTGAACAAGTGAATGAGTATGGCATGCTGAGGAACATTGTACTCGTTCAAGGAAGTTGCATAATTAACTTTCATATTGCTATTTACTCGCGAAACTTGTGTAGTGCGTATTCTACGCCTATTATATTGCGATTTCCTTAAAATGTCTCTTTCATGGTAAAAGTATGTGTAGTTTTTTAGATTACCGGTTTCTGGAGAATATTATTTCCTCTTAGCCTGTAACTTTGTCCCTAGGTATGATTTTGAGCTCACATTTGTGGGGCTACCTTGCCGACACCCGTGGACGCAGAAAGACTCTACTTGCCTCACTTCTGCTAGATGCCGTCTGCGGATTTGCGTCCAGCCTCGCACACACCTACTGGCTCTTTTCGGTTCTGCGATTCTTCAACGGATTCTTGTAAGCACGGACCCCGTTCTGCTTCACACATCCTGTCATGAGTATTGTCTCTCTGAGGGTACGTCAGGCCTTGAATAGGCAATCTTGCCGAAGAAAAGTTGTGGTTGTTCAGTGATATGTTTTCAATGACAGAGTTCCTCGTACGGAGGCTGGGTCCAATTCCTCCATCGTAGCCCTGCGAGTTGTAGAAAGCGACGAAAAGGGAACCCAGTACCCGGGGGTATAACTGGGCCATTCTGTTCCGGGTGGATATAAATAGGGGGACCTGGCCCTTCAGGTGGGGAGAGTCTCGAATCTGAGACAGTAAAATGTGGTCATGAGTCTAGCGGGACTCAGACATGACAATGACTGCGCTGGAGAGGACCAGCAGCAATTGTAAATGACAGACCAGTCTTCTCGTGAGAGAGGATGTTACATAAGGACTATGACATCAAGTGTTCAGTTGAAAATAAAAAAAAATTGGGGAACCTTCATTCCCAGGATTAACATTGAAAACGTATACATTATCACAAATACATTATTACCCTACAGTACCACATTCTCCCATCTTCTGATCTGATGCGGCAAATAACGAATTCAGTTTGTTTACATAGAGAGGTTCTTACCTTCGTTGGCTGGTTCAACGACTCTGTGCTTCACGGCGACAGGTGCATCGGAAAAATCGGAAGCGCCTCGCAGCCGGCGGTGCACCGGTCGCCGTGAAGCGCAGAGCCAGTTGAAAACGGTAAGGACCTCCGTATAGAAAGACATATACCTGTACATATAGTCGAGCTTGCATGGTGCAGTCTACCTGAAGCCGAGTGATTCTCATGCTTTGTAAGTTTGTTTATTTGTATATTATTTAAATATAAAGTCAGTATCTCAGCCTGTATAGCGTTGAATGATTAATTTATAGTGATTAATGAGCTGGGAAAAATACGAAAGGAACGGTCATGGTCTAATTTCAGGCATTATCCCAATAATTACGTGCAGGAACTGAGAAAACCCACGAAAAATCCCAGTCTGTGTCCGGGCCATGATTCGAATCAGATACCTCCCGAATACAAGTCAGAACCTTCACCGCTTAAGCCAACCGCCATTGTCAGAGTAAACACTGAGACAGAGATTCAGATGGTAAAGGACAAACATTTTTACTTTCCAGAACATTTCCAGAACTTGCATTTGACACGGGATACCTAAAAGAGGGACAAAGATAGTTAAAGGATTTAGGCTGTTTATAGGACCTGAGGTTCTCACAGCGGTGGTTATAAAGAGTTCTGTCTTCTGGATATAATGTCGCGTAGTTTGTTGATGAACAGGCTACGTTTCGGAGAAAAATGTCTCCATCTTCAGGGTCGAAAAATAAGCCAAGGAAGAAACCAGCATTAAACAGGTTAGCAAGTATAGGGAGTTCTGCTTCATACATGCTTCTTGCCTGTTTCTTCGAGCCTGAAGATGGAGGTGACATGTTTTTTTTTATCGCTTAGTGAGGGGTGGAGTCCAGCTGGGTCCACTCGGCACGTCGGCAACTGACGGGCCTATTGTCCCCGCCCCGGGTGATTAGGATGATGGAGAATTTGGTGGAGCGAAGATTGGAAGGGAAACCGAAGTACTCGGAGAATATCTGCCCCAGCGCCACTTTGCCCACCATAAATTCCACTTGACCAGACCTGGCTAGAACCCGGGCCGCCGCGGTGGGAAGCCAGAGACTAACCGCTTGAGCTATGGCGCGTCCTTGAGGTGACATGTTCTTCCAAATCGTTGCTTGATTTTAACGGATTTCACGCCGTGATAGCCCAGAAGATAAGGCTTAACGCGGCCATTCATTTCAATGCCCATGTTCGACCGAAACAAGTTATTTGATCAGTTAATAATACAGGATACACAAACTGTATTGACAAAATGTTGATGCTGCAAAGCGAAACTCTTGATATATGAAGTAACAGTGGCGAATATTCATCCTGTAGGCCTTCTATTTATGCCACCGTATAGGCTAGTTGCTGGTTATCAAAGTGTGGAGCATCATCCCTCCAACTTCAGGTAAAGGTGATCTTCCCTGAAAATTTAAGCGGTATGTTTCTGAGGAACTTTGGTAATCCCCTCTCTGTCTTCATGGCGTCATAACCTAAAAGGTCATACAACAAGATTGAAAGTTGAGGACATACTCTTGTAAGCCGTATTTTGCATTCAGATATAAACCAGGATAATCTGAGCTAAGATATAATTAAATATTAATAGGGACATGAATTTCATAAATATTTAATTAGCTACAAGGTGGATAAATATGTATATGTTTACGAAAACTATATATGTTCTCTGATGTAAGAGATAAGAAATATTTAAGACTTCCAAAATTTTCTTGAATTTTATTGAAAAGGCGTAAAAAAAGTAAAAACATAAGTAAAGTTGTCCCCGTTCTTAACTAATTAAGCACTACGCCATTAAGGCGTATGGGGGAGTGGAAGTTTAGATCCACGTCTTCTTGATCCCGGCACTAGCTGGAGGTGAGTGGAGAGCTACACGCCCCGGCCGCTTTATCCCCGAGGAAAGAGCTCCCGGCACCAATTTGATAAGAGGCTGGGTGTGCCCCAAAGCCGATGTGGACGACATGCAGAAAAATTCTTGATACTACAGGGACTCGAACTCTGATCCCTTGGTCGTTCAGCACGTAACCAGTCGCTATACCGACTACGCTATGCCGGGTCCTATTTAAGAGATGTATGAGATTAAATAGGCACCCATTATACGAGTAATAATAATAATAATAGTAATAATAATAATAATAATAATAATAATAATAACGACCAAGAGATCAGAGTTTTCAATAAAATGCAAGAAAATTTTGGAAGTCTTAAATATTTCTTATCTCTTACATCAGAGAGCATATATAATTTTCGCGAACATATACGTATTTATCCACTTTGTAGCTAATTAAATATTTATGAAATTCATGTCCCTATTAATATTTCATTATATTGTCACGTGTTGGGTATGTTCGGTGACAACTTCAAGTGGGTCTCGGCTTTAGTGAATCTTTATTGAACACTCACTCTTACAATTGTTATCACTTGCAATATCAGTTGCCTTCTGGCCCGATACTGAATACTCAACTATCCTTGGCCGTGGTTGGATCTCAACTGTCTCTGGCGGCGGCTGTCCCAAGATTTTCCGTTCTTAATACTCTGGTTCCGTTCGAGGCCGGGCACTTTATATAAGCCGCATGCTGACTCAGTAGAGGACACCCTTTGCCAAGGTTCGATCTCACGTGTTCGGCAATCCGTTGCTTCGGGAACGCTCCTTATAAAATGCACCGGTATCGTGTTTCGTCTCGTCCGTTGTTACTCAACGACGATTCTTTGCTACGATTTTTCGCTGCGGGAACTCCCCAATTTCCACCTATTCGTTGCCGTGAAAGTGTCCGTTCCGATTGTAGCGGTTGTCGCGGCGATGGACGTAAGATAACGCGTCACAGTATCTTAGCTCACACTATCCTGGTTTATATCCGAATGCAAAATACGGCTTACAGGACTACTATCGAAATAAAAGCGAAATTAATCACAGGCCCACAGCTTCACTATGGATATCCTACACTGAATTTCAACGAAATTCGTTAAGTTTGTTCGCAAATGTTCATTTGAGAATTATATTTAGGATATTTTTTTTTTCTGGAGGACATGGACAAAACGCGGAGAAAGTTCAGTAAAAGTAACTGCCTTTCTAGGTCCTATTTGGAAAACTTCCCAAATACGAAGGAGTCCTAACGACTGAACTGAGATACTGTGTATTTTCTATTAAAGAATTGTACTGTGTGTAGTGGAAAATATGGCGTATATTCTGTGACATAAACATCATAGCTTTATTTATAATCTCATATAATCACCGCAGCAAAGCAGTCCAACTTATTTGTGGCAAATGGAAGGGGTTATCAGTAACAGAGATGTTGTGTACATAAAAACTGTGACGATAAGTCTCATAATAAGATACTTGAACTATTATTACTTTCTTCTGTGCACAGTGTCTGCGCCTCGTCGTCCGTTGTATTCGTGTACCTGGGTGAGTTCCACTCGGAGTCCACTCGCTCCAGTGCCGTCATGTACATGTCTGTCTTCCTGTCCGTGGGAGGTATCTTTCAGCAAGGTAACTCCTAGACAGTTGCACAAATGGAATGTCGTAATTAACATGAATACTGGTACTCCGCCTATTCCTGTCCCGTACTGTCCTTCTTGTTGAGGCTTATCAGTTTTAAATGTCTGGATGGAATTTGAAGGATTTGTGGGGTTCATGGACCTACCTCGGGAGTTCATTGCGTCATACTCAGTTGGATAATGCATAAAGCATTATTAACATTTCAAAAATATAATTAATATATACACGTGTAAATATGGCGGTAAAAGAGACAATCGGTTATAGTCTCAAATGTTGTGGCATTCTTGAACTCTACTTGCCCATTCAAGTCAGCTTAACTATTAAACACGAATTTTTAAGGAATAATTTTATGACGTTTGCCTAAGTTCTTACATGAATTTTAGAACGAATGTGTAGGTTTTACTATTTTTAATATCCAGTTCCTGAGGACATAAATTATAATCTCAGTAGTTAGTTAATTATTAGAGAGGGTGGGTTTCCCCATGCACTTAGACCTGTAGTGATCCATTGTGCTTCCCTCTATGATTTCTACCAGTCTCTATATCCTACCGGTATTGGTGCTTACAATCAGTCCCGCCCAGCCAGCGAGACCGGCTCTACTTGACTGAGAGGTATCTATAATGCTTCTCCCATCTACCGGAGGTATTAGTGACTGCTGTTGGACAGGAAACGTCCGCAATTTTGGCTCAGTGACCTCCTTTGGAGGTATAAGGTTCTTTTACGTGCCGTAAAGCTACGACACGGGACCCACGGCTTAAAGTCCCTCCCGGATGACTTGTTCCCTGAATTTTTCCGCCCTTAAAAATTCGACGACCTCCGCCGGGTTTGAACCCGCGTACCACGAGTCATGAGGTGGGAACGTTACCTCTAGACTACGGAGGCCGCTTTATAATCTCAGTAACTGGATATTTAAAAATTACCTCAACAGTAACTGGATATTAAAAATAATAAGCATAATAACTTACAATGCTTCTGATGCTTGAATTGATTGTCTTGCCCATCTACCCTCTAACATATAAGTTTTTTTCTTGCCTCTTCGTTTCAAAATTTTGTTTTCACAGAGACGAAGCTGGCTCTGGAAGTCGACTCCCTTCTAAATAAACTCAACCACCCATCCATCTCCCCTCAAACACACACGCAACACAGAAACAAATTTCAATGAAGAAATAGACCTGAACTGTGACACTATAAAAAGAAATTTTGGACACATTTTTCTAGATTAATTTTTCACCATCTCAATTTTGAATGTTCACAAAAGACTTGCGTTGACATCACAAGGAAGCAGCCTCCAAGACGTTCTTCAACCGAAAATCTGAACACTTCTACTGGGCATGCGGTATATTGTCCCAAAGATGGAATTCTCCATTAAAGATATCTTAAGACACTTTTAATGAATTGGACTACAGACTTCAACACATAACGTATGTTGTAGTTTACAGTGCAAAACCATGTAGCAGGAACGGCCCCGCCCCTTATACAGGATGGGGCGCAGAAACTTCCTTTTTGTGAAGACGCATTGTGAAGGGAGGGGAGGTCGCAGAAAAGTGGGGATATGCTCGGCGAACGCAGCAGTCGCGGAAGTTTCTGTCTAATACCCCTCAGTAGGAAAAATGAGGAGGAAGAGTGAGCAGCGTGCATTTGCTGCCGAAGCCTATTTTTCGAACAACCATTCCTACGTGACGGAGCAGCGTGCGTTCCGTACTCACTTCGGAATTAAGCCCAGAGGTCCGGTTGCCGACCGGAAATCGATTGTTTTGTGGGTAGAGAACTTCAGGACAACCGGGAGTGAGGTGAAAGAATCATCAGGACGACAACGGACCGTTACGACGCCAGAAAATATGGAGACAGTTTTACAGTCGATTTTGAGATCTGCAAGACGCTCCGCTCGTAAACATGCAGTCGCCCTATACATATCCAATCGTTCCATGCGTCAAATTCTTCACGAACATCTTCATTTCCATCCCTATAAGATGGCTGTTGTGCAAGAATTGTCACCACGTGATTTACAGAACCGAATAACGGCGTGCGAGACGTTATTGGAAAGTTTACCCACTAACGCACTTGTTTTCTTTAGTGACGAGGCACATTTTCACCTATCCGTTTATGTCAACAAGCAGAATATGCGCTATTGGAGTGGTAACAATTCCAGAGAGCTCCATGAGAGGCCACTTCACAGTGATAAAGTGACAGTATGATGTGCGTTGTCAAGAGTTGGAGTTATTGGCCCTTATTTTTCTGAAGAAGACAATCATGCAGTTATTGTCAATTCACAGCGGTATGTGGACATGATTAAAACCTTTTTCGAACCGGTTCTTGAAGAAATGCATCTATGAAATGTCTGGTTCCAACAGGATGGTGCCACGGCCCACACAGCCCGAGCTTCGATGAGAGTTTTGAGGGCAAAGTTCCCCGAACGTCTTATCTCGCTTCGAGGTGACATCCCGTGGGCAGCGCTGGGAGACGCTGTTTCAGATCTCGGGCCGGTTACTGGTTTTCCTGAGTGAGATCTCAGTCTCTCTCTCAGTACCTAAACATACACCACAACCAGTTCCCTTCATGTTTTTTTTTTTGTCACTGGCTTTACAGCTCTCTTGATCCCTGACCTCTGATTTTCAGTTTCATTATCATTTTACACACAGTAGAACTCATTGGACGAGAGATCAGCTTCTCATGCGGCCTCTTCCTAAACACAGGACAACACAAACACAGAATGATTACACATGAAATATCCATGCCTTGTGTGGGATTCGAACCCACGATCCCGGCTTCCGAACAAGCGAAGAGTGCATGCTTTAGACTGCTCACCTACCGTGACTGGCCGATATCTTCATGTTCGTGCCCATAATCGTCTTCATATTTTCATTTGACGTTATATAACGTCGGCAGTTACATCGTCGTTAATCGAAGAATGAAAACAATGAAATCAAATCGCTGTACTTGCAAAAGCCTATGTATATTCTGTGGCATGTGGTGACTGATTGTTACAAAACGCGTTTCATTGTAAGTGTCCTAACATCGTGCCTTCCTTTTCAGGTCTGTCGTGGTTGATAATACCTCAAGATTGGGCTGTGGAACTACCATGGATAACATTCAGTTCGTGGAGAGTATTTGTGGTTTTAAGCTCCCTAACAAGTATCGTTGCCATTGCAATTCTTCTCCTTCTGCCAGAGTCCCCCAAGTTCTTGTTCTCCCAGGGGAAGGAGGCGCAGGCTCTTGACGTGTTGAGACACGTGTACGCCGTAAACGCTGGGAGAGGCGCTGAAGAGTATCCGGTACGTTATCTTCAGAGCAAAGGGCACGACCAAAAAGCTTTCAGAGGGGAAGTGAAATATTATCGAAGCTACGAAGTTTGTATGCCGTAAGACAACATCTAATGGCTACTGTACAGGTGGAACGTGTTCTGATGGACATTAATGACACCGGGCCGGTCGCTGTGGCTCAACCGACATCTGCCCTCGAGATCGCCAAAAGCATGTGGCTGCAGACAAAACCCCTTTTCCAACGACCCAACCTGTTGCTGACAACGTTAGCCTGTATCATGCAGTTCCTGCTTTGCGGCAGGTAATGTATTTTCAGCCCTATAAATCAGGTATAAGTAAATTTTGGGGGAATGCTGAATCATTCAATGATAAAAAAGCTAGTAAAATGTTATGTTTTTGGACATCCATCGTCTTGTCTTTATCTAGAAACAGTTTTGTTTATTTTTCAGAACACAATGTTTCGGAGACTGGATTCTGTCTCGATCCTCAGGTAGAAGCCCGTTCACTTCGTCCCAATAGATAGAGCTGTCCCTCTCTCCGGGAATGGCTCTATCGATTGGTACCAACTGAGTATGTTTCGCCTGAAGACGGAGACAGAATTCAGTCTCCCAAACGTTGTGCTTTGAAAAATAAAGAGAACGGTTTTTAGATAGAAACAAGACGGTGGATAATGTCCAAAAACATAATATTGTACTATGTACCATTGTCACAAACTTTTAAATAAAAAACTGAATACATTATAACTTGTATATTTTTTTTTTTACAGTTTCAGTGGATTCGCCCTGTGGCTACCTGACCTGTACAATCGGCTTGCGATATACTTGGAACGCCATCCTGACCACACTGTCACCTTCTGCGATGTAGTCGTTGCTTTGGCGAACAGCACTGCCCTCACTGACAGTTTCATGCTTGCAACAGGAACCAACAACCAGACTTCTGCAGAAATCAGCAATGTAACTTCTTCAGTATTAGCGGTGTTGAACTTTAACGACACAGTCGCTGTAAATGCGGTTGCAAACCACACAGAAGTTACTATCAATCAGAATGTGACGGATAACATTAAAACCAACGCGACTTTGAATGCTACTCTTGGAGTGACGGAAGGGCTGTGGGTTCTCAATAGCACCGCAGCAACACCCACTTGCAACTCCACTGTCAATCCAGCAGCATTTCGGAATAGCCTTGCTATAGGACTCGTATGTATCGTGGTGTACGCTTTTGCTGGATATCTGGTGAAGTTCGCGAAGAGGAAGCCACTTCTGAGTAAGTTATTTTTTTTATTACTAGTGGGGTGGGACTAAGTCCCTTATACTGCGGCCATTTCTGGCCTATTGTACCAGCCCCAGATGATAGTGAGGGTGATTGTGGAGCAGTTGGTGGAATGAAGATTGGCAGTGGAAACCGAAGTACTCGGAGAAAACCTGGCCCAGCGCCACTTTGTCCACCACAAATCCCACTTGACCAGACATGGGATCGAACCCAGGCCGCCGCGGTGGGAAGCCAGCTTCTAAGCGCTTGAGCTATGGCGCGGCCCTCTGAGTAAGTTAAGTAGCTAGCGGCCTCCGTAGTCTNTGGCACGCACCAATATCGGTATGGTATAGAGACTGATTGAATATCAAAGAAGGAAGCACAATGGACCAATACTGGTCTAAGTGCATGGGGAAACCCATCCTCTCCAATAACTAGATAATAACTAAGCAAGTTAAGTAGCTTAACAACGCAATTCTTGCTGCAAATACCGTTACGCCCTTCCGTCTCTAGACGTCACTGCCATCATCCCATTAGGACGTGACAGAGCAATAGCTCAGGCGGTTAGTCATAGGCTTCCCACAGTGACGGCCTGGGTTCGATATCAAGTCATATCATGTGGAGTTTAACTGTGAAAAAAGTGGCACTGGGGCAGATTTCACCTGTAAAAATTCTCATTCCACTACCTGCTCCACACTCATTATCATGATCACCATTAACATCCGGGGCTGGTACAGTGGGCCTACTAGTGGACCACCCCAACACAAGAATAATACAAGAAAACATTAGCATACTTCGAAGCCTATAGGGCGGTCTCCCATAGGTGTTACATTAACGTACTTTGCTACTGTCAAACCTCACCAGAAGGAAAACGAAGTGAAACACAATATTGATTAGTAAAAATATTATGGTTTCTGACATTATCCATCGTCTTGTCTTTATTTAAAAACCGTCCTCTTTATTTTTCAAAACACAACGTTTCGGAGACTGGATTCTGTCTCCGTCTTCAGGTAAAACTAATCAGTTGGGCCCTGTCTCCGTAGGTAGGGACTAGCTGTATAAATTGGGGCCAAGTGAGTAGGTTTTACCTGAAGAAGGGGATAGAATCCAGTCTCCGAAACGTCATGTTTTGAAAAATAAACAGGACGGTGTTTTTAGATGAAGACCGGACAATGGATAATGTCCAGAGACATAATATTTGTACTATTGTACCGTTAGACTTGAAAGGATTCTGACGATGGTGTATACTGTACTTNCTGAAAAATAAACAGGACGGTGTTTTTAGATAAAGACCGGACGATGGATAATGTCCAGAAACATAATATTTGTACTACTTTACCGTTGTCACACACTTTTAGATCTTATAATATTAACAACATAGATTAACGTATTTACAGCGGTATACTGCCACACGTGCAATGTGCATTTCTGTTACATTCTTACAGAAGCTGCCAAAGCAGGTTTCTTGGGAAGCTGAGAAATTGAAATTTTGAAAATTTGGCGGTTGGTTCTTTTTTTTTTCTTACGCCCGCTTCAACTTTCTGTTCAGATGTAGGCATTTTCATACCGAACCTAGTGATATTCCAGTCTTGTCTACATCCCCCTCACAGAGTATGTTGCAATAATATTATGCAATGAATTTCGGCCAGGAGCCGGGATAGCGCAGTCAGTATAGTGACTGGCTACGGGCTGGACGAGTCCCGGTAGGTTCAAGTATTTTCTCTTCTCCATATTGTCCACACCGGCTCTGGGGTCCACCCAATCCCCTATCCAATGGATACAGAGGGCTCTTTCCCCGTGGGTAAAGCGGATATGGCGTGAAGCTGACCACTCATCTCTAACTACTGCCAATGTCTAGAAAATGTGGATCTATACATCCACTTCTCTATACACCTTCATGTAATAGTGCTCAATTAATTGAGCACAGGGACAACTTTAATTTATTTTTAAATGCATTTCGTCCATTTATTCATTCCTCCATCCATCGATGGCTCTACAGCCCTTAGTTGGACCCTTGCCGCTTTTTCAATTACGTAATCATATACATAGCCGGTAGGACTCTTTGGACGGGGGATTAGAGCGCCCCAAGGCCGCTATATACACGCAGGACAACACAAACACAGAATAATCGCACACAGACATTGCCTCCAGTGGTTCTCGAACACACGACCCTAGTGTTGGAGGGGCGAAGACAGATCATGCCTTAGACTGCGCGGCCACTGTGATCGGCTGCGAAACCAATTAGGCTACTTTGTAGCAACTTCTGTATTGGTAAGCATTTGTCAGGCGCATGCCACTTTTAAAATGATCAGGAATAAGTAAATGCTTTATTTGTTGCTTTTGAAGACGCTACTTGTAGTCTCGAAGGATAAGCGTTGTTGAAGATCTGTAATAATAATTTACTGTGTGTAACATTCCACATGTATGTAAACAGAAGCTACGTGGACGCTAGGAAGTTACTGTGGGGCGAGCCGTGCCGTTGTAACAAAGCTTTCGCATTATGAGAGTGCACTCCTTTATATGTTACCGTCATTCTACTCTCGTAGCTTCATCGTGTAAGTGTACCTGTG